CAAAGTTTTGGGAGAACTATGCTACACATTGTTCCCTCCACCTCCCCAACCAGTCTTCCTTGGCGGGCAGCACAATGGGTTTGTTGCTTCTTTCTCCAGGACAATGGGGCAGCTCACCCACCCCTGCCATTCCCAGTGATGTCCCTCGGGCGCTGCAGAGTGAGATTCTGTCTTGACTTGTCTGTGCAGGAGACTCTGGAAGAGAAAAAACTAATTCAACCTGGCTGCTCACACACTTACCCACCTCACTTACACCCAGATGCATCCTTTCATTCCAGTGACATTGTACCATGCGTCTTCTGCATCCTGCACTTTATAAAACCTCAATATGTTGTGGGAAGCTTTCTAGGGTGATGTCTTTGGGAAGTAATACATCCTCTACTCTTTCAGCTGACCTCCTAGTGGGAGTACATTTTTGAGAAGATGGTTTGATCACAAAGCAAATAATTATAAGAATTTTGAATTACTTCCTTCAAAAAAAAAAAAAAACAACACGTTGAACCGGGCAGTGGTAGCACACACCTTTAATAATCCCGCAGTCAGGAAGCACAGGGCTGGTCACATTGTGTCCACAGTCAGGAAGCACAGGGCTGGTCACATTTTGTCTGCAGTCAGGAAGCACAGGGCTGGTCACATTGTGTCCACAGTCAGGAAGTACAGGGCTGGTCACATTGTGTCCGCAGTCAGGAAGCAGCAAGAGTGGGGGTCGGTGCTCAGGTGTTTTTCTCTTTTTCATTCAGTCTCAGCCCCTAGCTTGTGGGATAATACCACCCACATTCAGAGTGGATCCTCCAATCTCATAGATCTTCACCTCATAGACACTCTCAGGGAGATGTTTCCATAGTGATTCTAAATCTAGTCAAGCTGACAGTGAAGAGGAACCATTAGGAATTTCAGCAGTGAAAAAGGCATATGGCCTCGCCTCCCAGATTCAAACATCAATGAAGAAGGCAAGTGGTCTCACCTCCCAGATTCAAACAGACACCATTGAAGAAGGCACACGGCCTCACTTCGCTGATTCAAATAGACATCACTGATGAAGGCATGCAGTGGAGGTTTTTTTTTTTGGGGGGGGGTGGCTTTTTGGTTTTTTTTTCCTTTGTTTGTTTTGTTTCTATTTAGACAGGGCCTCACTCTATAGCCTTTGCTGGTCTGGAGTTTGTTATGGAGACTAGGCCTTAAATTCATAGAGATCTGCCTGCCTCTGCCTCCAAAGTGCTGTGATTTAGACATGTGTCTATGTGTCTGGCTTGTTTGTTTGTTTGTCTGTTTGTTTCGAGATAGGGTTTCTCTGTGTAACAGTTGTGTCCGTCCTGGAATTCACTTTGTAGATCAGACTGTCCTCAACCTCATTGAGATCCGCCTGCCTCTGCCTCCCAAGTGCTGGGATTAAAGGTGTGCACCACCACCAATAAGCTTATTTGGTTTTTTTTTTTCACCACCCAGCTTGAAGCTTAACTTTTAATTTAGTAATGGTTTTGGTTTTGAGTTTGTTGTTTTGCTTTTGTTTGTTTGTTTGTTTTCAGTTTTTCAAGACAAGATTTCTCTGTGTAACCCTGGTTGTCCTGGAATTTACCAAGCTGGCCTTGAACTCAGAGATCTGCCTGCCTCTGCCTCCCAAGTGCTGTTAACTTAGGGGTTATGGACGGTGCATAAAACATAATTTTTCTCACCTCTGAGCTGTACCCTTGGGGAGAATAGGTAGGAAATCAAAGCTAAAAACAAGGAAAAGACTGGGGGTTGAAATGGGAAATAAGGGCTGGAGAGATGGCTCAGTGGTTAAGAGCACTGGCTGCCTTCCAAAGGTCCTGAGTTCAATTCCCAGCAACTTCTTGGTGGCTCACAACCATCCATAATGAGATCTGGTGCCCTCTTCTGGCCCGCAGGCATACATGCAGACAGAACACTGTATGCATAATAAATAAATCTCTTTTTTAAGAAAGGAAGGAAGGAAGGAAGGAAGGAAGGAAGGAAGGAAGGAAGGAAGGAAATGAAATGAAATCCATATTCATTCTGAGACCCTCAGAGCCAGGAGGGACTTTCCGAGCTGTCATCCAGCCTCTGCTGCATTCTCTAATGGCAGAGAGCTTCCTGTTTTACTGAGAAAGCCTGTCCGCCCCTATCTTCCTTCATGTCTGTCTCCAATGATTGTTTCAAGGTCTTTCCTGAACTTGGGGTGTAGCTCGGGTGCCAGAGTGCTGTTCTAGCATGCACAAGCCGTGGGTTGGATCCCCAACACTGCTTAAACCTGTGTGTGATGGCATACGCCTGGGATCTCAGCACTTGGGAGGTCGAGGAAGCATCGGGAGTTGAAGGTCAGCACTGTCCCAGGGAGCAACCAACCTGGGCTATTGAGACCCTGTTTTCAAAACACAGTCTCTCCCGTGTCTCCACCTGTACAAACTAGACCCCTCTTCAGTCCCTTTGCAGAGGGAGAGGCAACCCTATCTTCCCTTTCTCTTTAGTCCACGCCATGACAATGGATTTTTTTTTTTCAGGGGGAAGGGGTAGGCAGGGATAAAGTCCTTCTCCATTGCCCAGGCTGGACTTGAATTCCTGGACTATCGCTGTCTTCCTGGGTTAACCTCCTGAGCAGATGGGACAATAGACGTGCACCAGCATCCCTGACCGGACCTTCTGACAACCATACTGTTATCACAGGTAGACCAGACTAGTGTGATGCTGCAGAGCTCTTGCGTGGGCGCAATGGTGGGTCCCCACAGCTCACATGCACAGCGCAGGCCTGAATTAGCAAGGTCTCCAGAGCGGGTGTTCACTAATGATTCTGTTGAGCTGGTTTTGCCTGCCCTCTGGGCTCTGGAGGTAGCGCTTTATTCTACTCGACTGGAACCCGGGGGCTGGAGAGAGGAAGCTTCCCTCCCAGCACGCTAGTCAGATGGCTAACTCCCATGCGGAGACTGGGGAAGGGGACATGATGAGCCTTCTCCCCGCCCCACCGCCTCTCACTTGCATGCCAGTGAATGCAAGCGTGGCATCGTCTCCCAGTCTGAGGAGGGACGCGGGGACATGAGCAGTGACTGCTGCGTGCCAGGCCCTGGGGAGTCGAGTGCTCCCTCAGCTCCGTTCTAAGGAGGAGGAAGGCTAGCTTCACAGATGTTAGCCCCTCGGGCATCTAGGGGTAGAGCTGACCCCAGCCCCCTCCCATCTCCTGCTCACACCATTTCCCAGGATGCACTGCCACCCTGCCAAGCCTCATGGCCACACGAAGGCAAAACTTCAGAGTGCCAGTGGTAACGGCCCACACTCAGAGCTGGGTGTAGTAGAGGCAGAAAGGAGCACTGGCCCGTCCACCTCCAGAAAACTCTTCCCTCGAGGACCAGGCGGTGGGTGAGGAGCGTTCTATTATTTTATTATTTTATTCCTCCCAGTTGATTGGGAACCATGTGGGCCAGGCGTGGTGGGGGATGCTCGCCTTTAATACCAGTACTCAGGAGGCAGTGGCAGGTGGATCTCTGTGAGTTCAAGGCCAGCGTGGTCTACATAGTGAGTACCAGGAAAGTCAAGGCTACGTAGACAGACCCTGTCTAAAACAAACAAACAAACAAAAACAAAACAAAACAAAAAAACAGACAACAATCAACAGTGTGTCTGACTTGTCACCCCCATACCCTAGGGACGCCCTGGTTGGATCCACATGGGTCCATGAGTCTATTACTAGCAGGGACATGAGCAGTAGGGAGCAGATCATAGAGTGGACCCCAGGAAAGGAAAAGGTGGGCAGCCCCAGGTCCTTCCCAGCCTGGGGTCCAGGTGTCTATGAATCAGACTGTGAATAGTCAGAGGATATGGCTACCGAGTGTGGACATGGAGGGGCAGGCCTGGGCCATGAAGGGCGGGGACAGAGTGACGGCCCTGGACAGAGGGCATGGCTGACCACTGGAAGAAGCTCTCTGCGGGTCTCAGAGCCGAGCTTCCAGCTGACCACGGCCAGCAGCCCCTCTGTTCGCATTTCTGACCAGCACTGTAGGAAGCCTGGGGACTCGGAACTTGGATAGGAAGTCACCCACTCCTAGAGGAGCCTGTGGTAAATCAGGCAGGCAAATGGGCAAGACAGTGTGTGATGAGCCCTAGGAAGATGCCAGCAGGGCACGTGGTGGGCCATCCTGAGGCGGCCAGGGATGGTGTCTGAGATAGAACAGGAGCAGGGAGAAGAGCTAAGGCCTTGGGTTGTGTGAGGGGGTGCAAACCTGGCAACCCAACATGGGGACCTGAGAGTCCTCACCCCAACTAGGTCATAGAGTGGGGCACTGAACAAGAAAGAGGCTGCAGTTGTTCCTTAGGATGAGAGAGTCCCCCAGCGCCACACGCCTGACTTCAAGAGCCTGCCCTATCCGGGCAGCCTCACTGTGTGGGCCCTGAACCTCAATTGCACAGGGATAGGAGTGGCTGCTCAAGGTCCTGGATTTCTGGAGAAGAGATTTGCCTTCCCTGGGGCCTGCCATGCGTCACCGTTCCCATCACCCGCTGAGCCCCAGAAGCCTCAGCTGCTGTCTTTCTCTTGGGGGATTCTCAAAACATCCCAGGGCCCCGTTGTCCAGTCCTGGGACTCGGGGCAACGGGAGAGGAAGGAAATTCTCACACACAGCTCTCCCCCAGGAGTTTGCTAAGTTCCCAGGCTGACAACTGGCAACCCTCAGAAGTCCGTCCCCCACTCCCTTCCTCCTCTCCTCCCTGCCTCCTCCTCCCCCTGCTGCCCTTCTCCAGCTTAATAACTTCCACATGGGCTCTGGCGGCTGGAGCCAAGCCCTCAGCATTGTCTGAAACCTCCAAATTTAGAAGAAATATGAAAATTGTCAACCACTCCTTCCTTAGGGGGTAAAAGAAACATTCGGCACCAGGGGCAGGTCAAGGCGAGGCAGTCACGTGGCTGGCGCCCTGGCCAATGGGGGGCCCAGGGAGGACTCAGCACCCGCCTTGCCCCAACACCAGGCTCGCTTCTTCAGCTCATATAAGGTAAAAGGCAGCGAGGCCTCCGTGGCCAGAGAGCCACGGGCAAGGGGCTGAGCAGAGGGGGGTCCGATGCCAGTTGCTTAAAAATGCCCCTGTAGCATCAAGAGGTGCCAGAACCGAGTCAACTTAGTTGAGAAGCAGTGACACCCACAACCATACCCCAAATAAGTTGAGCCTCCACCTCCGAAGAGTCTTCCCTGGGCCAGACAACAGCCAAGGTAAGGATGGATCGCAGATGTGGGTCCCAGAGCGGGCCTCCGGGGCTTCCTCCCAGGGGCTCTCATCCGTGCTGTCTGCTAATTGCCATGGGCCATCTGCCTTTCTGGATGTCAATTTCCCTATTTGTACCAGGGCTGGATCTGGTGATCACCAAGCATCGGCCCAGCCCTGACCAGCTCCAGTCCTATGGGTTTGTTGACTGCTTCTGCAGAATGAGGAATGAGGGTCTGAGCCGATGTCCTTGGCAGGCCAAGCTCCCACGGTGCCACATCTGGGCAGTTAGCCCTGTCTCTACCTTGACAGCATTCTGCCATGTTTGTACCAGGTGTTCACACCACGATTCCAAGAACCTGGGGCTCCTATTAAGGAAAACTGTTTCCGACTAACGGTTCTAAAAGCCAAAGCTGGGTGGGAGGGCAGCCGTGCATGCTCAGGCAGCCAGGGAGTAGGAGGCAAAGGGCTGGAAGGATGGAGTGCCAGATGTGTGTAAAAGGGGTGGGGACTAGGAAGGGACACTGAGGAGGTAGGGCCTGAACTTTATCCTAAATCTGCACTCAGTGCTGGACTATATGGCTCTGGGCAGGTACCCATCCCTCTCTGGGCCAGCTTGTCCATCGAGATGTGTAACTGGACCAAATGGTCTGGAGATGCAGGGTGTGGCTTCTGAGCCATCTGGGGGAAGTTCCCTCAGGATTCTGGGCTATACCACCTTTTGAGCATAGATTCTGCACCCAAGCAATTGGTCAAAGCCCTGAGGGCTGTTGGAGGCTGAGAGCCTAAGTGATGGAGAACACCCTCAGGGTGTCTAGCTGAAGCCCTAGATCTGGTTTCCCCAGGGTGCTATGCTGCCTCTGGTGGGCTCAGAGATGATGTCTGATGCAATAAGCCACAAGTGCAGGACCTCGGGCCAGGAATGGGGTGAAGAAATCACAGACGGTTTCCAGAACCTTGGAAGGCAGGCCTGTGATGGGCAGTGTGGGGGCCAGGCGGAGCTCAGATTGGAACGCACAGGCAACATCCAACTTCTTGGGCCTACACAGTGGCCCCCATCTGGGCCCCGAATGGAGCACAGTCCTCCAGTTTCAGATTACACAACATCTGTTCCTCTTGCACCTGGTCACCGAAGGCCATATGGCTCAGAAGGGATGGGGCCCAACTCTGGGCTTGTTTACATATCAAAGTGCTTGGTCCAGTCATCAGCCATCTCGGCTTAGGCTCCTTCATCGACCGAATAGGTGCCGCTTAAGTTCTCACCCCATATGGCCGTGGTGAGAAATAAGAGACATATATGTCTCAGCTATGTTTAAGGAGAGAAAATGAGACAGAGGGAGGAAATGCCCAGAGCTCCCTAGAGAGAGAAGACTCTGGAAAGAGAGAGGTAGAATAAATCCCAGTCAGAGGAAACAGGCGAAGAGCAGCCAGCTTTAGACCGCTCCCTTTGCTCTTACCCTCTGCCTGGAGTTGGGCACCAGCAGTGCAAGGCCCCAGAGCTGCAGAACAACCTAAGACCATCAGGACAGAGCTGAGCATCGGCAACCCCCGGAAAGAAATCATAGCTCTGGGTCCATCCGCTGACAAGAGAGCCAGGGCAGAGTGTGTGTCTGCCCAGCCAGGGGCTCCTTCAGGTACTGTAAATAAGAAATCTATTGCTTTCTTTTGTTGAGGACTTAGGAGATCCAGGAATCTGAGTGTTTTATATGAGTTAACTCAATGGAACCTTGCAGGACTTGGGGAGCTAGGTGCAATCATTCCCATTTTGCAGAGAGGCCCGACACTGTATGTGTGTTGGCTGCCCTAGGCTGCTCTCTCTACCAAGAGCCACCAACTTCTCACTTTGCTTATGGCCACGTGGACCTCCTAGCAAGTGTCCAGTAAATTTCATGGGTAGAATATGTATGGGGGCATTCCCAGGAGCCAGACACCAGCTAAATGGTTTGCATTACTGTGGTTCTCCTAAGGATGTTCTTGGGAGAGATTAAATGATCCCAGTGTCCCTGGCTATGGCACAAACCACAACCCACCCAAGCTCTCACCACGAGAAATTAGGTAGGAGGTATAAACTCAGCCTCCACCTGCCTGCTCTTCACCTGGCCCCAGATCCCCTGAGTTCTGATAAAGAAGTGAGACATATGGAGGAGACTCCCATCTCAGGATTTGTACTGGGGCTTGGTGAAAGTCTCCCAGCTGAGGCCACTGCTCTCCCTCAGCTATGAGATTGTCCCAAAACAGAGGAGACAGGCGCTGGTCCCCTAGCCACGCTCCAGCTCTGTGGCCAACCTCAACCCTTTCTCTTGCTGGCTTGTTCTGGAGAAAAGCTAATACAGCTCTGCAGAATGGAAAGTTCCAGACCCTGAGTTGCCACAGACCCAAGCTTTGAGTGACTCCCCCAGGTGAGACTCCTCCTAGGAGGAGGTCTCCAAGGTCCTTGATGGGGGCCCTGCCACTTCTTCAGTTTTCCATCAGAACTGCCCCTGGGGCTCAGGTCCTGGATTGGCTCAGAGAACCAGGAGAAAGCTGGGTGTGGTGGCACGTGCCTTTAATCCCAGCACTCAGGAGTTAGAGGCAAGAGAGTCTGTGAGTTCAAGGCCAGCCTGGTCTACCTAATGAGTTACAGGTCAGCCAGGGCTACATCCTGGAAGGAGAAGGAGAAGAGGAAGAGGAGGAGGCATAAGAAATGCTGCCCTCTTTTTTGTTCAGTTTTAAACAACCTGCTGAGCACAGAGGCCAGAGTTTTTCCAGTTTACACCTGGAGTGAGGCTGCTGGGTCCTGGGTGTGGCCTGAAGATAGCATGGGAAGTCACTGTGTGTGTGTGTGTGTGTGTGTGTGTGTGTGTGTGTGTGTGTGTGTCTTCCATCAGGCTATTTCTACATGTCTCACTGAACAAACCCTCTCCTTGACCACACTGAGCACACCCCTATCCTTTACCACATTAGAAATGGTAGGATTTCTTGAAATAGATATATTACCTGCTTTATCTTACATCAAATAATGTAAGGAAGAGGGCTGAGGATGTAGCTCAGTAGTAGAGCATTTGTCTAGCATTAGTTCATTCCTGGTACCACAAAAGAAGGAAGGGGAGCGGGGGAGTGGAGGAAGGCAGGCAGGCACGCTCATATGTATTCTGCAGGCTGCCAACTCTTGTCCGCATGGATGCCTAGGAATTTATCCCTATCAGAGCACCTACATCACACACACTCTTAGGAAGACCCCAGGGTGGGATCTGAGCAATAGTCACCCTGGTGCACCCTGGGTCCAGTGCTGGGCTGCAGGGCTTGTGTGGGTAAAGTCCGGGAGCAATCACTGCTCTCACACACAGCCTGTTGAGACAAACCCCACGGGGACCTGACATCGGCACATTGCGAGAGCTCTGGGGTCAGCCATTTTCCTGCTTGCAAAAGAATCCATTGGTGGCAGTCTCACAAACACCACAAACCTTTTCTCCAATTTGAAGCATGCCTGATGCGCAGTGGACCTCGCCCACGCCGCTGATGCGCAGTGGACCTCGCCCACGCCGCTGGCCCACACAATCCAGCTCCTTCAAGCCCCTTTTGGGTCTGTTGAGAATGCAGAGTTCTGTGGTGGGTGGGGCAGGGGTCCCCCCGAAAAGAGGCAAAGATGATCAGAGTGCTGTAAGAATGACGTGAAATCACAGGAAGCCAGGATCACGGGGCTAGGTCTGTACGGGCTGCTTGGGTTTGAATCCTGCATTTGCCTGGAAGCAGCTGCCATTCCGTGAGCCGCCATTACTCCATCCGTAAAGTAGGAAGATTGAGCTACTTAATAACAAGGGTAGTTTACTGAGCTGTTTGGATTAGTGGAGCTGAAGCTCTTGAAGCCCATGGAGCAATGACTGGCACACGGGGGCCTATGCAAGAAAACATAGCTGCCACAGCCCCAGGCAGCTTCTTGGGGAGAGGATGTCCTGCTGAGTCCGAGCTTCTTGGATGCTGAGGACTAGTATGCTCTCATTCCTTAGAAAATAACAGTTCTAAGAACTGAAGAGATGGTTCAGTGGCTAAAACCACTGGCTGCTCTTCCAGAAGGCCTGGATTCAATTCCCAGCACCCACATGGCAGCTCACAACTGTCTGTAACTCCAGTTCCAGGGCTTCTGACACCCTCACATAGGAATATGTTTAGGCAAAATACAAATGAACATAAAATAATAATGATGATGATGAAACTATAGAAAAAAGAGAAAAATAACAATTTTCAAACCAGGCCTGTTAGCACATGCCTGTAATATCAGCACTCAGAAGGATCAAGAATTCATGGCCATACTCAGCTATGTAGTGAGTTACGGGCTAGCCTGGGCTACAGAAGATCCTGTCTCAGAGAACAGTTCTCACACTGGGGGTGTTGTGAGCCAATGGCAGAGGGCTTGCTTGGCACCCGCGGGACCCTGTGTTCTATTCCAGGTACTTTCATTTCCTACACAACTAAATTGCTGTGTATCAAGGCCTCCTTGCCTTGTGCCCTGAGGTAAGTACCTTCATCCCTCGGGTCAGCCAGAGGCTCAGAGAGGTCTGATTATTTGCTCAAAGTCACACAGGGATATGATTTGGAACTCAGTCCCAAATCTGGCTGACTCCATATGCTTAACCGCGGTTTTCTAGAACCAGACAAGAGAGCCGTGAATCAGAGAGCCAGTTCCAGCTTGACAGGACACTTGGCATTTAGGGGAGGAAGCTCTGTGCCTTCCGAATTTAGAGTTACTACGGTGACAAACTAGACAGAACCCTCCACTCTCAACCAGCTGAGGACAGAACATGCAGATTCCAGTCAGACTTTTCCAGTGAGCACCTGCTAGGTGGTGTGTGTCCACTTGGAGGCTCATCAGTCCTGGACTGCCCCTTCCCCACAGAGCCCTTCAGAGTCTTGCAGAGGAACGGTGAGCTAGGTCAAGGAAGGTGACCCTATGGCACCTCCCCATGAGCCATGTCTGTCCGTCTGTACTGCTGTGGACCCTAAGTGTATCACAGGACGGCAGCTGAAAAGAACCCTGCCCCGCCGAATCAACTCTCTCTGCCCTTCCTCCTCTGTTTTGCCCAGCCAAACAGGAATGGGAACGAGTCAAAACAGGCTACCTTGCCTACGAAGCAGCCAGGATGCCACCCTTCATTTGCCAGCCTTTCTTGAGGCAGTAGATCTCAGGCATACCGTCACCAACCTCGAAGAGCCTAGGGTGTCCCCTAAGGTGAACTGGACGAGGGCCTGGCCCTGGCTCTGTCGCCATTACCTGAGATCTGCAGGTCCTGATACTCCATTTGGGATGGGGCGGGGGCAGCTCATGACCAATTTATGTAGACACCAAGACTCCACCTGAGGGGAAGCTGCTAGATAGGGGAGAAAGGGGGAACCGGGTAGAGAGGAGATAGCAGGATGAGGATTTATTTTTTGGTTTGTTTGTTCGTTTGTTTGTTTTTTCGAGACAGGGTTTCTGTAGCTTTGACTTCTGTCCTGGAACTAGCTCTTGTAGACTGTAGACCAGGCTGGCCTCAAACTCACAGAGATCCACCTGTCTCTGCCTCCCAAGTGCTGGGATTAAAGGCGTGCGCCACCACCGACAGGCTAGGAATTCTAAAAAGCAAAACTGCAAAGGTGTTTTCTGAGCCTATCAGCTCACTGAGGCTGGAGGCGAGCAGAGGGTTCTGGAATGGCTTGAGTCAGAAGGCTTTTTAGTTCTGTTGGTACTTTTCTTTAATCTGTTCCCCTTCTCCAAACACCATCAGACCAAGGACCCCAGAGGAGCAGGGAGATGAGGGAAGTATGACCACAGATGTCAAGTAAGGGGACAGAAGAGTCAGGACAGGGAATCAGCGGACTATAGTCACCAGCTTCAAGCATCTTGAGAGATTCCAGAGGAGCAGGACGTCTGCAGCTCAGAGGTTGGCACGTGAAGCCCCAAAGATGCCCATGGCATCTGCCCTCCAGAGGGGAGTCTCCAATAGTCTGTTCCTGGGGGCAGGAAGGCCAGGGATTTGGAAGTAATGAGCTTCTTATCCTGAGAAGCATGTGAGATTAGCAGTAACAACAGAGAGAAAAGCCAGGTATCAGAGTCCCTACGGGCACTTCCCCGCCAACGGCCTGCAACTTCACATGCCTTCCCAGGCTGCCATGGGACAGCCACGGAGCATAGGTCGCTGCCTGCCTGCCTGCCTGCATGTCAGATTCTAGGCAGATATGACGTCAGTTCTGTTCTGGCTTTGCGCAGAGGCTTCCTGGGCTCCCCTACCCGCTACTTCCTCTTAGTCTACTGTGATCTTTTGCTCTTCCCAGGGGACTCCAGGCTTGACCAGAGAGGCCTAGATACTATTTACGAGAACAAGGTCCCTGGGGACCATCCATCCAATGGCCTCCCAGCCTGCAGGAGTGAGATCCATGGGGGCAGAGTCTCTGAGAGCCCGTTCACACGCTCCAGAGAGTCTGCATGGAGATTCCACCAGGGTCACAGGAAAGCAACTGATTGACAATCAAGATGCCTCGGTTTTTCCTTCTGCTCCCTCCTTTTTCCCCAGCGGTGGGTGTGATAGGAAGCTGATGAGGAAAGCAAGCAGCTTCCCTAGGCTGAGTCACAAAAGCCAGTATGGTGAACTAGGATGCAGGAGCAATTCCAGGTCGTTCACTACCTTCTAGAGTCTGGGGAGGTGGTTGGTCCAGGGAAGATGCTCGGGGACTGGTCAGGCTTGGGGAGAGTCCTGGAGCAGTGGAGACAAACAGCAGCCAGGCCAACAGACAGGGCAGGGATACTCAGCACTAGAGCCTTCCTGAGCCCACAGTCCAGGTTTCCCCTGAATAAAGGCAGGCAGTGTGGAGCAGAGGCTTGGGCTATTGTGAGTGATAAGCCCCTGCCTCAGGCTGGTTAATACTAGAACACTTTCTGATGCGCTCCCCCAGGTAACCTGGTGACTTCTGGGTAAAGTAGTCCTTGTATGCAGGCACCAGAGCTCCATCTCCTCATGTCAATAATAAAGAAGCTGAGGAGAGGCTTCCCCGAGATCACACTAAGTATAAGCATCCTTCTAGCCAATGTTAGAGGCAATGTTGGATGCTTCTCATACCGAAGGCAGGGACAGAGGCGAGGCGGGTACCCAACCGGAACATGTCAGGGTCCTTTGTTCGCTTAATAGTAACCTAGTACCGGTTCCTGCTGTTCTGTCTTCTAAGTCCCTTTATGTGGCTAGAGATGGTCCCCAAGCTATTGGAACTGCAAATGGGAGGCGGCCTCTTGGAACCACCGAGGCTGGGACAGGAAAGCCCTTGATTCTGTTTGAGTCTTCCCAGCTCTCTATATGACTGACCTTAAACAAGAGGCCTCAGTGTGTTCAGCAGGGTCTAGATCCGAGGAGCCAGAAAAGCACAGGGACACCCCCCCCATGATGTACTGCCTCGCTCATCTTAGATCTACCCGGGAGGCTTGGCAGAGGGAGTGGGTGGGCCACAGGAAGAAAACACAGCCTCCAGATTCTTCTATGCCCAAGCTTTGCTTGCCAGCTAAGAAATTCCCAGAGAGAGAAAAATCGTGGAAACAAGTGTGGCATGGTGATTCACGCCTGCAATCCAACACTCAGAAACCTAAGGAAGACTGTATGAGTTCAGAGCTAGCCTGGGGTACATAGTGAGGTCAGGGTGAGCCTGAACCTTGCATTTAGGAAGCCCTAGTAGTGATAAAGGGCCTCTGGGACAAAATGGCTCAGACCTTTAGTGCCAGCACTTGGGAAGAAGAGAGGCAGGTCAATCTCTGTGAACTCAAGGCCAGCCTGGTCTACATAGTGAGTTCTATGACAGCCAGAGCTACACAGTGAGATGCTACCTTGAAAAAAAACAATAATAATTAAAAAAATAAAAACATAGATAGATACATAAATAAGTAAAATTAACCCAGTGAGGGAAGTTAAGACCAAAAAAAGTCAGCACAGCATTCAAGGTGGCAAAGCAAGTTAGAACTGGAAGAGGACCAGGGCCTCTGACTCCCAAGTCAGTGCCTTTTCGTGGTCTACAGGGCTGTTCAGGATAATGGGCACAAAAGCCAGCCTGGTATGAACTTGGGTCAGTTTACTTCAGTGCCTCAGGCTCCTACACAAGAAATCTAATCTCCTTTCCTATCTGGGACTCAGTTTCTTCCTGGAATCAGGGGAACCAGAGGCATCAGGACCCAAGGCCAGTACCTAGCAGACACTAGGGGTTTCCTAGGACCCAATCCTAGCACCCAGCAGATCTGCAGACTTTCCCGGGTGGACCCTGCTGCTCTCACCTCAGCTCTTTCTTCACAGACAGTAGGGGACTCGGGCCAGGACATCCCATCAGGTTGGATCCCTACCAGCCCCGTCCCACCCTAGACCCCATGGCTGGGCTCCATCCAGAGCTGTAGGCTCCAGCCCAGCTTCCCTCTGAGAAGCTTTTCTTACCATAAAAGGGCAAGTGTGCCTTTCTCAGCCCTGCTGGGGGAAAGGCTGAGTTATTTTTAGATGTAGGATTTATTCCTAACCCAAGATGGAGCTGTCCCTTTGCACCACAGCCCCTTCCCCAGTTGCTGCTGTCTCATGTCCCTTTACCCTCATTTGTGGCCATCCCACACACACACACACGCGCACGCACACACACACACACGTGCACACACGCATGTGCACACATACACACCACTACATGCATGCACGCACACACAAACACACACACACACACACACACACACACACACATACACGTCTCTCCTCTTCTCTCCCCAAATCCTTTCACAGCCGGCTTCCCTCCTCTTGCCCTCCCTCAGATCTCCTTTCTAGTTACTGGAGAAAGTGACGCATCTGTCCCCCACCCCCTCCTGAAACAGTATTTACAACATACATTCCAAACATCCGCCATCTGGCTTCTAGGAAGGGCCAAAAGCTATTTGGAGAAGGAAGTCATGATTATTCCATCTTCAAAGCCAGGGAACTTAAGGCCTTTTACTTCTCCCCCACTTTCCTCCCAGAGGCCCCCTGTGTCGACCAATGACATCTTTCAGTCAATAGATGAGGTCAGGACCTTAGCTAGATGTCAGCTGACTTCAAGCATTCCTTTTGCATCCCTTGCTTCGCCTCTCTGCGCCCCAGCGTTCTCAACCGAACAAGGGCGTGAGACCAGGACGCACCAAGATTTCAGGTCCTTCTTCAGTGCAGCAGTGAGGAAAGGGAGATGGGGACAGGGTGAGTTGGGAGAGTCCTGTCATCAGGAAGTCCCTTCCTCTCCCACCATGTCCTGCACATGTGGCTCCTGACATGCAGAGAGGGGAAGACCCATGTCCATAAACCGTGGGGTTATATATGCAGGCGCCTGCTAATCTCCTTGCCCTCAATGGTCCAGAAGAAACCAGAATCTGTCATCCGGAAAACAAGCCCGATGCCCATTCCTACACAGCCCTGCAGCACTGGAGTCTCTGTTCTTTGCAAAGCAGGGAAGACGGGCAGGGTGGGAGGGGGATGGACGCTGGTAAAATGCTCGCCACGCACAAGGATCTGCCTGGACTTGGATCCCCAGCACCACGTAAAAGCCAGATGCTCTGATAGCACCTACAATCCCAGTGCTGAGGAGGCCAAGACAAAAGGATCCCTAGACACTGCTCGATGATAAGTAGAGAGGTGGCCCAGTGGTTAAGAATACTGACCTTGCAGAGGACCTGGGTTCAATTTCCAGCATCCATAGGGTGGCTCACAACCATCTGCAACTTCAGGCCCAGGGGCTTCAACACTTCCTTGTACCCTCTGTGAGCACTGTACTTACACACACACACACACACACACACACACACACACAGAGAGAGAGAGAGAGAGAGAGAGACAGAGAGATACTTAGATATTTTTTTTTAAAATGTTAGAGAACTATACAAGACACCTAATGTCAATCTCTGTTTTTACACTCACTGGTAATACGCCCATGCATTCCTAACCCTTTGCACCACAGCCTTGTCCTCTTTCCCCTCCTTTGTGGCCACCAGACCACCACAGACACCCACACATGGGAACGCACCAACATATACACAAACCCACAAAAGGCAAACAGGACAGAAGCAAGGCTTTTATAACGGTGATGGGGTTTTGTTTGTTTAAAACAAATACTCAACGAACAAGAGAAAAGGCACCGGAAAGGCAGCTACATCCACAAAAAAACTGTTGCTCCCAGTATCTGGGGGCCTTGCCAGGGCCCAGATGACTTCTGCTCATACTAAAACTGCTTTCCCTCTTCTCAGCCTCCTTCCCTCCAAGACAAGGACGGTCTGAGCTTCAGGGGAGCGAGGACAGTGTGTGCTGGATTGCATGGGGCCCGACTGGGACTCCTAGACTAATGAGCTGGGTGACTGTGACCTTCAGGGGGTGCTGTGATCCTTGAGATCCTTGGTCTCTTCATTTGTAAAATTCCATAAGAAGGCTCCTAATGAGAACTGGGCAAACATTCTTAGCAAGGGGGAGGCGCATCAAGAGCTCCCAACTCTTCTCCCCCATCTTGCTTGGAGACACCAAGGGAAGCTGGGTGGAAATCCGCTCCTTTTTTTTGCCCTGCTTGGAAATTAGGGATCAGGTGTTTAGGCATTCCTCTCACCCCAGCATCTGAACTGCTGGAGGCAAAGTTTGGGGTTCCAGAGGAGCCAGGAGCTCCCTTCTCTTCCCTCTTCTCTCTTCCCTGCATTGCTGGTTTTCACCTCATGCTGCATTCCCAGGGCTTGCTCAAGAGTCCCAGAACACCATTCCCTGGGGAGGAAGTAGGGAGCGTGTGAGGTTGGTGAACTTTACAGGGTGACAAGGGGCTGAGGGCATCTGGGAACAGAAGCCGAGGAAAGCTGTACAGAAAGGAACATGAGGGGGGCCAGGTGGGGGTAGCTCCTGCTGTCGGCATCCACACCTCCAGATGCCTCCCTCCCACCCCACCCCTGCACTTACCATGCTAACAATAGAAACCGCCGCCGTTTCGTCTTGGCTTGCCATGTGCCTAGAACTGTGCTTGCTGTCCGCTGCCCCCGACTGTCTAAAGCAAGGACGTGAGGTCAGAAGCCAGGTGAAGACGAGGATTCTCGGACACAGCTGGGAAGGGGTAGGGATGAGATTCAAAAGGTGGGCCCACCTCTCCTGTATTCTGTGCAAGCTTATAGTGGTAACTGGGCCCTGGAATCAAGAGCTGTGGAACCGTGTGTGGGAGGGAGCCTCAAAGGAAAGCTAAGGTAGACCATCTCTCTCAAGACAACAGCTGTGTCTTGTCCCCTGGGAGAAGGTGCCGGCTTTGGCAATGACCACATGAACTTGGCTTTATGGTCATCCTGGCTCCTGGTCTGCCTTGACCACTGGTCAGTCAAGATTGCCTTGAGCAAGCTGCAAGGCCTTGTCCAGTCTCCTCCCACCCCAGCAGTTGCTGTACCGTTGCAGGACTCTGCTGCAAGGCCGAGAGCCTTGTGCTACTGGAAGAGGTTACAGTCTCCGTCACTGAGTTACCCCGGGTTATGGCCTTCTCCAGCTCAGCCCACTTGTGATATAAGAAATGGACCCACTGGCTATCAGTGTCTCTGGGCAATGCCCTTGGAGAGCAGAACTTTTGCTGACTGGTCCAGCTGCATTAGAAGGGAAGGTGATCTCTCTCTCGCTCTCTCTCTCTCTCTCTCAAAGGGCTTAGAGTTTCCCTTTGAAAGCAAAGTAGGGATCCTGGCCATGTAGGATCCAAAGGACAATTCCATGAGGCTTGACAAACCTCAGCAAGTCAGCCCAAGGCTGGGCTCAGAGTGGCCCAGGCCCTCTCTCTCAGTCTCTCAGAAAGCCATATCAGGCGCAGGCTCTTGGAGGTTCAGCACTCTGGTCACAGAGTGGCCCAGAATACTTCTGAAGAGCCGGACCTTTTGTTCTTTTCAGGCGAGAGTGATGTCTAGTCAAATTCCCCGCTACACTGGAGAATGAGGAGCCCCAGAGAGAAATCCTCCCGAGAACCAGAAAACGGACAGCGGTGGCAGTCTGCTCCCAGAACTGTAAGTGTTCCGTTCCATGTTCCCCACATACACCCCAACTCAGGGAACTCTCGGAATAGCCTGTGACCTCGGACAAGCTCCCCATCCCCATGCTCAGGAAACTCAAAGAGAATGCTGGGAATCTCAGCGAGCAGAGCCTAGCCATGGGGCAGCCTTGCAGCAGTGTTGGAGACTGGGATGGAGGTGAATTAGTGGAAGCAAAGACGAGGGACCCCAACAGCTGTGAGACCCCTTCCCGTCCCACTCCGTTCTCTTGCAGCAGCAACAGGAAGTCAGCTTGGCTCGAAGAAGACACACACACAATAGTAATCTCCCTTAGAGCTGAAAGAGCTTGGTAGGGGGGTACCTGGGGTCCTGGGGCTCTGGGCAAGGACTACGCTATTGATAACAGCAGCTCCCAGGGATGGGGGTGATTCTTCAGCCCTGTCTGAGTATGCAGAGTTCTGCGCCGCAAGGTCAGGCCACGCGTCGGGGAGTCTGGTGCGGATCTATCAGGGCTGGAATAAACAGGAAGAACTGTAGATGGAAGAAGGGAAAGAAGGGAGGCAGGGCAGCAGAAAGGGACTATTCCGCGGATGGGAGACAAGGCTTGTGTAACACAGCCCACCTGTTCACCCCGTGTAGCCTCCACATGTGTGCGAGCGTGCACCCCAACACAGCACACACCCGCTCTTCACTTGTGAGCAAATGAGCTGCAGAGACTGCTGTAAACAAATCGGATTAGGAGGCTGCAGACGCCTCCTTCCGCCCAAGACCCTCCAGGCGGACATTAGCAGGCCCGAAGAGTGGCCAGCTGCACTCTCTCTGTCAAGGGGACAGTCAGCTCTGAGCCCCCACCCCCTCTCCCACCCGGCCCCAGGAAGGAGCCTTCAGAGAAGATGCCAGGATGATGGATGGGGTGAGGGAGGTTCCAGGGCTGGCCAGAGAGCACACAGGATGTCGTGCTTGTGTGAGGCACATTTCTGAGCCGTTCCCAGCAGCCCACTCCTCCACCCCCTTGGGCTCCCCTCTGCAGCCTCTCCCACGGTCACTGCTGCTGGTCTGGGACTTGGGCCCAGCCTGAGGTTCCAAGCAGAGTTCAGGGCCTGGGTCCTGAGTACATCTGTCCCCTCGGTCCCACAGCTTCAGCACAGGGAGACGCTGGAGGCCACTTTAGAGGGCAGAGGGACCTGTGTGCAGAGGAGCAAAGCCGACTCTGTGCTTGCTTGCTTTCTCTTTCTCTCTCTCTCTCTCTCTCTCTCTCACACACACACACACACACACACTCTCTCTCTCTCTCTCTCTCTCTCTCTTTCTGTTTTTGTTTTTTGAGACAGGGTTTCTCTGTATCACAGCCCTAGCTGTCCTGAAACTCTCTGTGTAGACCAGGCTGGCCTTGAACTCACAGAGATCCGCCTGCCTCTGCCTCCCGAGTGCTGGGATTACATGCGTGCGCCACCACCGCCTGGCTTCCTTGCTTTCTTACTCAATGCTTCAACTGATCCTCAGAACAAGCTGTAGAGCTGGAATTGTGACCAGGGCACAGCTGTGACCAGTGAGGCTTATTCATTCAGTGCTTCCACAGGTCCCTCCTTGGAGGCCTTAATCTGTACCAGGCCCTATGTCATATGCTGAGGACACCCAGTAAGCAGCATATTGCCCCAGTCTGACGGACCTGGTCCCCTTAGGCTGTGTTGGGGAGCATTACAGCAGCCCTGGTTTCCCAGGGGCACACCTCCAGCACAATCAACTTCCTGCATAGCACGTGTGATGGCTAAATTTGTCCCTTTATGCTGCGTCAATGCAATCAGCCCTCTCAGGACCCCGATGCCAGATCCCAGGCCCTGATACCAGACAGACCTGAGTTAAATCCTGCCTCATTTCCTGTTCAGTTACATAACTGTTCCTAGCATCTCTGGGCCCGTTTTCTCTTCTGCAAAATGGGGGAGCAATTGCTCTCACCCCCTGGGGCTGATTGAGTTCTCCTCCTCCCTGCTGTCATTTTATACAAAGAGAAACAGAGGCCCCGAAAAGCAGAGGTCTCTGTGAGATGGGAGTTAAGTTTGGCCCAGGCTGTTCCCTTCAACCCAGTATTAGCCCTCCTGCCTGCTACTCCAATCAGAGGCCAAGATGGCTGCTCAGTTCGCATAGGTGATTCCCGGGATGTGTGTGTTGAGCCTTGCCTGGCTTCTTAGCAGCAGCCCAGGTGACCAGTGGTGACTCTCAGTCCTCTTGAGTGGTGAGTGGGGTGAGGAATGACAGGCAGGGTTCCTAGCTCCGAGCAGCCTCGCCATATAAGGGCAGGAGCCACGGAGTGTCCGTCCTGCCCGGGCCTGAGACTATCCAGACAAGCACTGTTTATTTTCTCCTTCAGCCTCCCCTCCTCTCACCCCTCCCAGGAGCTTCCCAACAGACAGAAGCCAGAGATTCCCCTAGCCTGGAGACATTTTTCTGAAGACCTGAAGACGTTGGAAAAGGAGAAAAAGTGGGACAACCCCCTGCAGCAGGCCTCCGAGCTGCCGAGAGCCAACGCCAAACGAAAGGTAAGATCTGGAGTCTGCCTGCTTCAACCACCTCTTTAACAGAATGGGAAACCAAATCTCAGAGCGCCAGAGATGATGCTAACTGTGCTGGCTGGAGATAGAGCCTGGATCCCCAAGCTCTCCCATATTCTGACAGCACCACGGGGTGAAGGAGCCTTTCTTGGGGTACATTGCTCTTCTCAGTGAAGCCCCACTTGAGGGAGGCGGAGGTCCAGATGAGCTCTGCCTACCAGCACAGCAGATGTACACGTATGTTTCCGGGATCAGAGAGCCAGAGGCTCACCTTCCCGTCCCACTGCTCCTCCCTGCCATCCCAGTCTCCCTCCCCCCAATCCTTCCAGGAGGCCTTTTGAGCTACCCAGCGGGTGGAGGAAGGGACCTCCCTGGCCACAAGCTCTTGGCAGTCCTCTCACTGGCTCTCGGGAGTCCTGCTGAGTCTGCCCCCATGCCCTGCCCAGGTGCCTTCCTCCAGCTCAGCCTTCTGTACCCTGCAAGGGACCGACAGTATTGAGGCCCTGCTAACCGCAAGTGCATGGGCGTCATCCCGGAACACACAAAAGCAGTGTTGGCTGGGTCTGCTGAATGAGCTAGCATGACTATGAGACCCCATCCCAAACCCAGAGGACTAAGAACTGAGACCTTTGGCATGGAGGTTAAGGTGAGGGACCAGGCCCGGCTGCTCTGAACTAAGAAGCCCAGTATGGTGATTTGTACTCTTACCCCAGGGGAAAATTGTATTTCTCTGGAACCTTGGAGACCTATGGGGATATGTACAGTTAAACATTCACCAGCTGGATGATTCTAGAATCACAGGGCCAGAACTAGACAGTCTTTATCCAAGGATGGGACAAGGAAGGCGAGGCAAAGACCCTTCCTGGCGGAACACCTGCCACTCAGTACTGTCCGGCCATTTCCTGCTCCTTAAGAAAGATGGACCACCTTCTGTCCAGATCCTGTAGCCCACCCCGAGTATATAAAACGTCTGCTGTGCTCTCCTTTATCCCAAGCTGGGATAGCAGTGGCTCTCAGTTGCCCTTTCTGAACACACATCTGCAAGTCTAAAATGCCTGCCCCCCTCGCCCCGCCTCTACTCCTGGTCCTCTAGCCAAGGTGAGCTCTTCCAGCCCCACAAACTGTCCAGAAGATGGAACAGGCTCTGCATCCTGCCCCAAACCTAGCCATCAGATATCCTGTTTTTCACTTTTGCCTGCAGTTGCATTTGAGGGTGTAAGGTGAATCTTTTCACATACCGAAGTAGGAGGAATACTTGTTATAGATGGGGAATTGATACTAATTGCAGCTGAAAACCATGGCGTGAGAGCGCAGCCTCAGTACCACACTGTCGCCTCTTCTGTGGCTTGCCAGGCCCCAAGCCAGGCTTTCTTGCACACGCTTAGGACCCCAGGCTGCCAGGCATTGTGGCACATTCCCATAATCCCAGCATTCCCAAAGTGGAGGCAGGAGGATCAGGAGTTCTACACACTGAATGAGTTTGAGCTAGCCTGATCTACATATGTCTCTGTTTCTGGAAAGAAAAAAGGAAAAGAAAGGAACAAAAGAACCGAGGCTAAGGGGGAGAGGAGGGCAGACAAGGTGGCAGGGGACAACCCAAATGGTGTGCCACCAAGTGACTCCCACGATCACCCACTCCATCTGCTGCCCTCAGACAGCAAAGGAAGTATAGGCCAAAGGGCTTTGGGCACAGTTGCATCCTGGCGAAGGCAGGGACTCGGTGTGGCCCAGCAGGGTTGTGTCTAGCCACCTCCCTGACCCCACCAGTTACTTACTGGATTGTCCCTTGGTCAGGTTCAGTGATGCCTCTCCCAGGGTCTGTGGGAGCTGTGGGGAACAGAGTAGAGAGAACATGGTGTTCTGACTCCCAAGAGAGTCCATGTTCGAATCTCCTGGGAAGAGGGCTTTGGAAAGTTTCTGACAATTCCAGACAGAAAGAAGTTGGATTGGCTGGGGATGCATGCCTGAGGACAAAAGTATCCTGGCCTTAACAGCAAATCAGAGACATTTTCCCACTGCTTCCGCACCCCACCTCCAACTTGGGGTTGCTGCTTGGAGGCCTCGGAGCTATGGGGTTTCTAAAAGGGAGGCAAACTTTTTCTTTTCTGTTCCTTCCCAGCCTTGAGGAAAAGTTACCGACAGACAACCCTGAATATGTCATCCAGCAACAAGGCCACCACAGTCACCATGAAACAAAGGTCTTCTGGGGACCCTGGGATCTTATGAAGAGCAGGGTGAGTGGGTGGTTTCGGGTTGGAGTGCCCTGCTCACCTGGAAGTTCCCACACAAGTTCCCACGCCCATGGAAGAAAGTGAATTATCCACGTGGCCACTCAGTCAGCCACCAGCACATGTCTGCTATGTCTGTTGTCTTCAGCAGTATCTAGGGACCCCACATTATAACATAGGAGCCCTGGCCCCAGGGAACTAGTGAGGTAAGTGGGGATGGCCCAGAGGATGAGGTGGTTTGCAACTCAAGCAGTGCTCAACATGGCCCTGATTTGGGCGCTGAGGGAATCCAGCAGGCTCCCTTTCCTCGTGAAGGAATGTGCTCACAGAAGAAAATTCTACCTCAAGAGTTGGGAAGAAACAGAGTTCACAGGGTGGATGAGAACGTGATCTAAAGGAGTGAGGGATGGTTTCTCACAAGTGGTCCTTTGCCCAGAATGCATACAGAGATGGGCGGGGAACAAGAGCAGGAACCAGGAGGTGAGCAGACACAGAGGAGCTGTATGATATGTGCAAGGCACGGGGTTCCATTCCCAGCACTGCAGAGAAAGAAAAAAAAAACTAATTGCACACTTTAAATGGATTGGCTCCACCTCAAGAAAGCTAACTTAAAAAGAAAAGGAAAGGAAGGTGGAATTTTCAGTCACAGAGGGCTCCGGGGCACGGGAAGGGCAGGGTGGGAGGCAGACCCCGACGCAGGCTTACACTCCTCCTCCTGCCCAGGAAGAAGGCCGCAGCCCGAGATTGGAACGGGGCAGCCCGAGCTCGCGCGGAGCGCCTGTCTCCCAGCCTGAGGTGCAGTGCTGCATCTCTGGTCAGTTGGGAGTCTGAGATGAAGCACTGTAGCTCAGGAAGGGAGAAGTTGTTCTGCAGCCGTCTCCGGGACGTGGTAAGTGTTGACGCGGTGGGGTAGTGGGTCCAAGAGGTTGTCCCTAGACTCCGCCCCAGCAGTCCATGGTGATGTTCCCGAGATAAAGCCGCACCAGTAGCCACTGCTCCTGGGCATCCGTAACAGTAGGCGGTGGTCCATTCAGTGGGGACCGGTACCGACACCTGCCTCCCCTTTCTCTTCCTGAGCCCACAGAAGACACTGCTAATAAATCAAGGCATCTATCCGTTCTGGGAGGGTTCCCTCACACCCTCAGAATCCTTCTTAACACTGCAGACTCAGTTACCCACCCTAAGTGAACCTAGGCTGAACCCCATTCATCTCTGGAGGTCATCAGACAACCCCTAACGGCTCTTCCGTCCTGGAGATAGCGACCCAGGCCCCTGGCAGCCCAACACATTGTAGATGACAGTGTCATGTTGCTAGGCGTGGAATCACAGTCTTCACTGTTCGGGCCGCTAACCCTGGCTCCGTGCTATTGCCTAAACCAGCCCAGGCATTTCACAAATGTGGACCCTGTCCCAGAGGCTTCCGAGAAGCATGGGGCAGCAAAGGCGAGCCACTGGGATACACACATTGGCATTTAGCCTCCCGCACCTGGTCAGAGGAAGGCGACCTACCTCACAGAGGAGAAAACTAAGTCTTAGTTAAGTAACTGGTCTTAGGTCCCAGACGGATGTACTGAGCTGGGGGCTACCTTTTTATCCACTGCGAGACTATGGGACCTGGAGCCGGAGAGTAGGAAAATGGAACAAACCTGACTCTGGTCTTGCTTACTCTCTGCTATAGTAACAAAGGCAGAACCACACACAGGTCTAAGAGTCCCGTGGCCTCGCGTTCTTCACGCTGGCCCCTCACCCAGCAGGTCCTATCTGATGCCCCTTTACAGCCAAGGCTCAGAATTTAAGGGACCTGCTGGAGGTCAGTGGGAGAAAGTTGCCAGAGTCTGGGAACTGACGTCACCCAAACTCGTTTAAATTCCCCGCTCCTGACCTATGGCAGTAGGGGGAAGGGACTGGTCCCAGACGTTCCCTAGTTCTCTGATCGATTCTCATGAACATCAGCAGGCTTCTTTGACCCCAAGGAAGGTACTTTCCAAGCCTCTTCAAACTCTAGTCGCTCTTCCCAGGGCAGGAAGCTGCACCCCGGGAGTCGCAGCACCCCTCGCTGGCTGCCAGAGCTAGGGCTGGGCGCAGAGAAAACTGCTGGTCCCCAGGGGTGTGGCGGGCGCTGAAGGCCTCTCCCTCCCTCCCACCTTGTCCTCACGGTCCAGTTTTCCCAGGAATCCCTTGGATGCTAAGATGGGGATTCCTGGAAATACTGTTCTTGAGGTCATGGCTTAGCTGCTGGATCTGCCTCCTTCCCACCCTGGCATTTCCTCTCTGGGATGAGGGAGGAGAAGGCCGTACACTGGAGGTAAGCGGACTCGGGATAGCCCTTCTGACCTTTGCGTTGCTTTCCTTTCCACTGTGCCCGTATTTCATAATACCCTCGGGAGGCTGGATGTGGGAACCTCAGAACCGACTGGCTCTTGAGAAACTTGTCCCAGTGGTTGAAGCAGGACTCTGAGGCCGCGCGGCCCCTCCACTCTGACCCTCCGCATTGCTTCCCTGCAGGCCTTACGGTAATGAGGGACCGCAGGCCCATATCCACATTATTAAGAAAGTCATACACAAATTTATTTTAAAATTTTATTAAATCAGGTAAACGGAAAACCATTCATCTCTGGTGGATTTTGAGTGCAACAGCCACAGAAAACTGAGCTTTCGGGGTAGAAAATACAAGATTAGGAGCGCCCCCTGGTGGTATTTTTGCCCACTTTGGGAAGCCTGTGATTCCCTATTCTCTGCGCAGGAATCTCTGCTGCCTGCCTTTCCGTTTCTACACACTCCTGCCAAAGTTCTTTCTGTCCAATCACTTTTGAGTCACAAACATGCTTAAGTCTTATTTATCCCTTGCCAGAGATGCTTCCGCGGCTTACAGTTGGCTTTTCTTTAGGTCCAAACCAGGGCAAGTTCACTCAGACAGCAAAAAGCAGAACCAGGATAGGTTTTAAGTTCCATGGCCCCTAGCATTGACTATCTGAGCCGAACAGGAAAGTAGGAGCAAGTAATACTCCCTTTTAGCTCCCTGCCCCTCAACTCTTGGGAGTTCTTTTTCATTTTTCCTTAATAAATCTCTGTTGTGCTTTAAAAAAAAAAATCTAGTTTGAGGCCAGCCTGGTCTGCACAGTTGAGTTTCAGGACAGCCAGAGTAACATAGTATTACATGTCTCTTGGTAGTGAGATCCTGTTTCAAAAAAAAAAAATCTAGAGCCAGAATATAGTTCAGTTGGTAGAGTGCCTGCCTGGAATGCGTGAATCCCTGGGTTCCGTGCCTAACACATCAGGTGTGGCGATACATGTCCATAATCCCAGCACATGGCAGGTAGAGGCAGGAGGATCAGAAATGTACAGTCATCCTTGGCTGAATAGTGAGTTTGAGGCCAGTCTAGGCTCTCATGAGACCCTCCTGAGGGAAGGAAGGGGAAGCAAAAAGTACAAAAATTTAAAAATAGAAAGGCCGCCTCTCCAGTTGCATTATGGGATGCTGAAATGTCCAAATCCTTGATGACATTTAGGTATAAAACTAGAACTTGGGCTGGGGAGATAAGGTGGCTGATCACTAAAGGCACTTGTCACCCAAATCAAACCAGAACCACGTGACAGGAGGAGAAAACTGACTCCTGAAAGCTGTCCTGACGTCCACGTGCATGCCGTGCTATGCGCAGCAAACTCCTCTGACCTGAACGTGTGTGCAGTGCTGTGCGCAGCAAACTGGCACATGCATAATTAAAATAAATGTGAAGGGAAAAACTAGAACTTTGGGAGCGAGGGGGATGCCCAGTCAGGCAAGTGCTGGGTGCGGATGCCCAGCGCCTTTACAGAAAGCCAGCCGTGGGGTCACGTTTATCATCCTGGTTTCAGGGAGAGGAGAGACAGGAGGACCCTGGAGCTCTGCTGTCAGCCAGGCTGGTCAGAATTGGTGGCTCCAGGTTTAGTGAGAAACAATATCTCAAAACCACAAGGTAGAGAGTGATAGAGGCCACTAGTCCTGTGCACATGTTCGTGCACACTCACGCGCGCGCACACACACGCACCTTAGAACTCTTCTTTAACTGTCCCTGGTTAAAGGAATGGTTGGTGAGTTGGTAGAGGCAGCAACCGCCATCTCTCCACAGCCCTCACTTTTGGGCATAGCACCATATCTCTAGAGACCAGGTGGCTCCCAGGAGCACACCAAGCTGTGCTCTTAGCAGGCATCCGGAAGACATTCCTGAAGAGAGACCCCCCTCCTGCTGCTGACCCCACTGTCTGACCCCTTGTTACACACATCCTCGCCGGGTCCTCTCACCACCCAGTGACGTAACACACAGGGAACCCAGGGCTAACAGGGTAGGACACCCTGGGGCCACACTCAGGAGTAGTGACCCTAGGATTCAGCCAACGCTTACAGTTCCCCCACCATTGGGCCTGGCCTCCTCAGCCTGCCCCCAGTGGCTTTCCCACTGGGGACGAACCACAAGCCTTACTCTCTGTGTTCTTCAACCGTAATAAAGTGCTGGACCTTTGCTTCATGTCCTGTGTCTTCCTGGGAGTGTGGGGGTAAAGAAGAATGTCCCAGTATTCACTGCTGTGACCCCCAAGTGCCCCCACTAGCCAGTCACTTCCACGGGCCAATACAGATGGCAACCCGGGGCCACATCTGGACTGCCCATCACGTTCCTACTGCTCTCAGGCTGCTTCCCGGCTACGACTCCAAGTATGTCTATATAGAGTCTTGTGGGGGGACAGAGACCCTTAAATTTGAATTAAGCAAGGACCACAGAGGAGTTGGGGGTCTAACACATAACAGTCCCTCTCCTTTCATTCCAGAAAACACAGTCTGAAGCTAACTGTTCACACATGGCACAGGTGTGTGATTCTGAGTGACCTCAGGCCATCAGCCCAGCTCTGCAACGATACAACTTCAGTTGTCCCCAGGTTATAGCTAACAGATGGGTTGTGTTTGTGTCTATGGTTTTATTTTTATTTTTATTTTATTTTATTTTATTGAGATAGGGTCTCACCATACATAGCTCCACCATGTAGCCCAGGCTGGCCTTGAACTTGCAACTGTCTTTGCTTCAACCTCCAAGGGCTGGGGTTGTGTTGCAGAAATGGCTCAGCGGTTAAGAGTACTTGATGTTGGGGCTGGAAAGATGGCTTAGTAGTTAAGAGCACTGGCTTCTCTTCCAAAGGACCTGGGTTCAATTCCCAGCACCCACATGGCAGCTCACAACTGTCTGTAACTCCAGGATCTGACACCTTCACACAGACACTCGTGCAAGTAAAACACCAAATGTACATTAAATAAATAAATAAATTATTTAAGCCAGGTGATGGCAGCACATACCTTTAATCCCAGCACTCTGGAGGCAGAGGCAGACGGAACTCTGTGGTGAGTTCAAGGCCAGCCTGGTCTAAAGAGCTAGTTCCAAAACTACAGAGAAACCCTGTCTTGAAAAACCCTAAAAATAAATAAATACATAAATAAAATAAAATAAAGTACTTGATGTTCCAGAGAACATGGTTTCAGTTCCCAGAACCCATGTTGGGAAATTCAGCAACGTGCCTCCAGGAGATTCTACATCCTCTTCTGCCTTCCATGGGCACCTGCTCACAGAACTATACACATAAATAAAATATGACCGCACCCAAGGGCTGGACATACAGGTGTACGCCACCACATTAGGTGCTGGGACACTCAAGACAGTCACATGGCTCGTGGGATCCCCAAAACCTCTGTATTTAGACTATAGAAAGCCCTTTGACACGGTCATTCCCAGGTACCAAGGGCCACCTACACCGCTCGTCTGTGCCCCAGGCCTGAGCAGCTTTCCTACAGACGGGTCCGAGGCTCCAGGTCACTTGGGCCTCTAGTCATTTGAGTGCCTAACAGAGAGCAGGAGAGATGGGCCAAGGGCACCTCCTGCAATATGCTTCTTGCTTTTCAGCTTTGAAACAGTATCCAGCTGGATGTCAATCTTCTCAAGGATCACAGGCTTTATCCTTGTAGCTCCTTCTGAAGGAACTTCCTTCCACTGAGTACCAGCTAACTGCCTGTAGGTCACAGTCACATTCTGTGACTTGAGATTTGTAGGGTCTCCAGGTAGAGGGGTGGGCAGGAAGAACCGCAAGCAGGGTCCCAGAGGTATCCCCTATATTGCTTAGGTTTGGGGGAAGGGCAGGTGGTAGTGAGACAAGGTTTCTCTACGGAGCCCTGGCTGTCCCAGAACTCACTCTGTAGACCAGAGTGGCCTCAAACTCACAGAAATCTGCCAGTCTCTGCCTCCCAAGTGTTGGGATTAAAGGTGGGTGTAACGCCTGCCCTATGAGATGGCACATGGGCCCAAAACTAAGCTGGAGACTTAAAAACACACGCACACACAAACAGACAGAGAGACATGGGAACGCAGGTCATCCTTGATACAAGAATGACAACTTGATTGTGCTCCAGGGACGCTTATATAGGACTCCTTAACTGCTAGCCACGGCCCAGCTCTCGGGATCTTTCAGCTTCAGGCCTCATCAGAACCCACTCCCCTGCCATCAGGGTCTCGTGCTCAGAGCAGCTGCAGGCACAGGTAAACAAGTTGTTTTGCTCAGTTCACTCCAGCAGGCAAAGGGTCTGAGGCAGGCAAAGAAAGTCAAGGGGCCCGTTGCCTGCAGCCCCCAACAGGCGGGTACCACCATGCCCCATTCGTTTACGGGTCTGTATTCACCTTAGCACCACTCAGAATCTTCCATGTGCACGGTGTGCCTGGTGCCCATCCACCTTCCGAAAGCAGCCAGGGAAGGTGTGTTGTGAAGGTGATCCCAACTTGCACTCAATAGATGCAGAACTCAGCATTCAGCCCGTGTAACTGAGGTCACCCCTCATACTTGTCTCTTAAGCTGGGACAATTTCATAAGCATCCGTAAGTGCCGTGACACAAGCCTCTGTCCTGGGAAGGAAGGAAACAGGATTGACAGACCAGGGAGAATAGTGCCCAGGACCCAAGCACCTTCCAGGCAGAGGGGCTAGAGTGCCTTTACCTACTAAGAGGAGTGGCGCCTGGAAACTTGGGAGAGGGAATGGTGACTCAGGCTGGGGCATATGGCGCCCTCTCGTGGTCTATTCTGGGAAAACAGGCTCTCTAGAACTAGCCAGTGACTATTGTTTTTGTAGAAGGTTTTGCATTTTAAATCGGGCCTGGTGGCACAGACCTTCCAGAAGGTTGAGGCAGGCAGATCTCTGAGTTCTAGGACAGCCTGCTCTGCAGAGTGAGTTCCAGAACAGCCATGGCTACACAGAGAAACCCTGTCTCAAAAACGAAAAATACCAGGAGGTGGTGACCCACACCTTTAATTCCAGCACTCAAGAGGCAGAGGCAGGCATATCTCTGTGAGTTCCAGATTCTACACCCTCTTCTGGCTTCCATGGGCACCTGCACAGAAATGTACGCATAAATAAAATATGACTGAACCCAAGGGCAGGGCTTAAAGGTATGCACCACTACGGTTCCAAAGAGTGAGTCCCAGGACAGCCAGGGTTACACAGAGAAACCCTGTCTTGAAAAACCAAAAGAAAAGAAAAGAAAAAGAGAGCGACCCTGAGTTACGTTTGGGATTGATGCTTTGTACAAATGTGTTTGTTGTATATGTGTAAGGCTGAGTACACGCATGTGTACCCACCTACAGTGAACCACTTCCATTCGGGTGCCTGTGGAAGTCAGAAGAGGGTGCTGGATTTCCTGGAGCGGGATTACAGGCGACACTTCCTGAGCTGGCATGTGGATGCGGAGAACTGAACCCGGGTCCTCTGCAAGAAAACAGGCGCTCTTACACCGAGCATCCGTCCACTCCCCTGGACTCGGACCCTGGAGCAGGGGGCTCCTTTCCCTTCTTGCGCCCCTTCGTCTTTCTTGTCTTCCTAGCCTGCCTCTCACAGTGACCTCCAAGCCTTTGGGGCACTAGTATGAAGTTTAGGGATTTTTCTTTTTGAAACAATCGACATTTATTCCATGAATTTCTAGAGATCAGAAAGGCTTCACTGTCTGGCGGAATCCTTTGCTGTGGGTCAAGTTGTCAGCCATGTTTGAACTGCTATCAGGGGGCCTGGGGAAACCCAACCAGGAGCTCACTCAGGCTGTTGTTGGCTCTGTGGCCTTCATCATCAGACAGCAGCCACCCCCTGATTAGATCCACCCACCTCCCGTTTAGCCCCACTGACTTCTGCAGCTTCCCTCATTCCAGCTAAAGGATGTGTTCTGCCTGTGAGAGCCTATGTGTTAGCGTGGTCCTCTTCGGTAGTCCAGGATGCTCTTGTTCTATCATTTCTTAATTTTTAGTTTTTATCTTAGTTTAATATTTAGTTTTATGTGTATGGGTGGTTTTGCATGCATGTATGAATTCATAATAAAAACAAAAAAAAAAGAACTCGGGACACTGAAGCGCTTAAACTCCGGAAGACCAACAAAGAGAGAATTACAAAGCAGACATGAAAGTAGAAATCCCATTAGTGAGTGATGGCCCAAAGGAAAAAAAGAAAAACGCTCATGAAACAGAATAGGTGATGATGAAATTAAAGTGAGTGGCTATCATTAAGGACCAATTAAAAATCTTAGCAATACGCTGGGCCACAGGGGCACATGCCATTAATCCCAGCACGTGGGAGGTAGATGCCGGCAGATTTCTGAGTTTGAGGGCCAGCCTGGTCTACAGAGGAAGTTCCAGGACAGCCAGGACTACACAGAGAAACCCTGTCTCAGAAGACAAAAACAAATAAAAATTAGAAATGACTGCCAGACTAACAAAAGCTTCAAGCCCGATAAAAGGGCTCTTATTCCACGTAAGGTCAACGGCAAATTCATGAGCTGATGGACCAAGACTTGCAGGAGGGAACACGGATGGTGAGAACAACAAGGCTCATAACTCAGGCCTAAGTTCCCAAGTCTGCCATCCTCCTGCATGCATCCCACGCACCTACACGGTGTCGCCTGCCTACCCAGGATTAGGCTGAAATAGAGAGCAAGAAATATGCCAGCTCAGCAGTCCATCACTGTCTCAGCGCGGGTCTGTCCTGTAGGGCGGTCTGGTCTGGTACGTTGTTAGAATGTGTGAAATGTCTTCCTGAGAGACCAGTGCCTCCTCTGCCCAGCGTGATGCATCAGTCTTCTACTTCTTCCCCACAGCAGGGGACTCCTGGAAATTTGGGGGATCCTTTTATCTTAGTCTTCAAGCAGATGAGAGGAGTCCTCTCCTGCCAGGTCAGTTACAGGCACAATGCACCCACATCTTCTCTTTGGCCAGGCTCTTGTCGCTGAGTTTAGGGTGTGTCTGGCTTGCCCAGAGCAGCCTCTCCATCTGAAGATCCTTACCTCCATCACATCTGAAAAGAGCCTCCGAAGAAGCCATTGACAGGTTCCAGGAACCAAGTGAGGCAGTATTCCACCTAGCCTCCCTATGCAAAAAGGCCAAAGTAAACTTAAGACATTGTTCTAGCTGGGGGTGGCAATCAATCTATAGTAGGTATGATGGTGACTGGGGAGGGGAG